TGTGGTGAATCTGCGTTAGAAACTGTTAACCAATACATGTATCTAGGTCTATTGTTGAACGAATATTTGGATTACAATATCGCTATTAAACATGTAGCTCAAAGTGCAAGTCGCGCTCTTGGTCTCCTTATAGCAAAACTTAAAAATTCAGGGGGTTTGCATTTTAATGTTTATACGAAATTGTATTATACATGTGTTGTACCTGTTATAACATATGGAGCTTCTATTTGGGGTACAAAATCTTATAGTTGTATTAATAGTATTCATAACAGAGCTATGAGGTATTTCCTAGGCACGGGTAAATACACACCAAATGCTGCTGTATGTGGTGAAACAGGTTGGAATCCAATTATTGTTGAGCAATAGAAAGCAGTGGGTAACCACTGACACAGAACTCTTTGTCTTAGAGAAAGTAGAATGAATAAAAAAATTTTCAACAGGGCTTTTAACAAAAAGGGAAACAATTGTAAAAACTAGAGCTATATTGTTGAAAACTTTTTATTGTCATTAGGACTTGATGTTTATCAATATGTTCATTTCCCATTTAATCGCAAAAGTATGGTTGATGATTTAACTAAAGCTTTGGTTGATGTTCATATCGATCAGTGGAAAGAGGATATTTCCAGGGAAAACAGTAGCAATGGTTCCGGGAGAAATAAACTTCGTACATACAGGCATTTCAAAAAAGAGTATGTTACAGAGAAATATTGTCGTTTATTAATTCCTGTTTCTAACAGGTCAGCTTTGGCTAAATTCCGTTGCGGAGTTGCACCTATCCGTCTTGAAACTTGTCGATATGAACACTTACCTGAACATGAAAGGATATGTCCACTTTGTCAAAATGGTATTGAAAATGAAATGCATGTAATAATGGAATGTTTTATGTATGACAACATTAGGAAACCATTGTTAGATTATGCTAACTATACTTGTGACTTATTTACTACAATGTCAAAACATGAACAGTTTATTTACTTATTTGCCCACCAGGACACTCATAAGATAAGATTGCTCGCAAAAACCTGCTGTGAGATTCTTAAATATAGAAACAACTTGTTATATAGTAAGAATACTAATTAAATTGTAACACAACACTATTGCTTAACTATACAATAGCACAACTCTAACAAGTTTTTTAATGGTTTTATTTGTTAATACAAGTACAATTTAAAGATGTTAATAAGCTAAGTGGAAATTATTATTTTTAAAGAAGTAATATCTTGTCATTAGGACTAAATACACCATAAGTACAAAATTTTAACTGTTGCATGTGGTTTTAAGTAATTAGTATTTTACAAGCTTCATTTTACAATATATAAAAATTATTTTTTACAGGTACTCAAACAACTTTTTTATCCTTTTAGCCACTTTTGTAATAAGTAGATTTCTTTTATGTGTGAATGATTTTCTTGTCTCTTATAATTCTTATATAGAATGGCTGTGTACATGTCTTATGATATTTTATGTTTGTAATATGTTGTGTGTACATAGATGAGACGCAAATAAACAAATATATATACGTATAAAAATTTATATATAAACAGCCATCAGTTACTCTATTTAATACTAGTAAATTATATTCCTGCACTTAGCGTGAGACTCAGATTTAAAGTAGGAATCACGTTCTCATGCTATGGTTTTAATTTCTCACGTATTTCACATAATTACAGATATTCTTATTTATTTTTATCTCGCTGACTCACGGTATGCGTTTACTAGCGCATCTTCGAGGCGACCTGAATCCGTTATCATTTCTCGATTTGAGACGAAAGATCCATTGATTTATTTTGTATGTTAATAAGCGGAGAATGTTGCATATTAAATACAGATTCCATTGTATTGAAGACGATCATTCATGTAGGATCCTCAATTTGTGTGAATATAGTTGTGGGAGAAGCTCGTTTTTTGTCTGCACATGATGCAGTGCTATGAAGAGCCTATGAAAATAATGAACAATGCATTTTATGTTTTATATCTTCTTATTTTTTAATATTGGGTTTAACCCGCTTTCAACAGTATTTTAATTATAGCGGAGGGAATTTAACGAAACCAGTGTTTCTCACAGTATCAACTTCTCTTCGGAAATGAATGACAGGAGTCCGAGGTGGACCTTGAAACATTTCATACACAGTAACCAATTCTAAAGGATAATCTATTAGTACAATACGCAATCGTGTCTCGAATCCATGCCTTCCGAATTCAGCGTAAGACCACTTTACCGATTACACCGTGGCAACAGAAGAATATTCAAAGTTAAAAACCTGATTATGATCTCCCTTAATAAGGGAGAAGTCCACTTTATTGTTTACATCATAAACACGTGTTTTTGGTTGTTGTTTTTTTCTTGTTTTTTGTTGTTGTTTTTTTGTTTTGTTTTTTTTTTTTTTTTTTTTTTTTTTTTGTTTTTTGTTTTAAAGCAAACTGTATTGTATTAAAAAATGAACACGATAACGTCAACATAATACATTATTCGTATTCAGTGGTAACAAAAGTTGCACAAGTTATTTAATGATTATATTTTGTATTTAATTAAAACATACAGTATAACCTCATCAGAGAAATGCCGCTATGTTATGCTGTAATGAAAAAGCGGAAAGTAGGTATACAAAAATTCGAGTTGAGTAATGGTTATATTGGGTGTTCTAGTCTGCAGTTGCGAATATGCTCATATATTTTTTTATTCAGTATGAGTTTTGCTTCCAAAATGTTTTGCAGTTTGTCACAAGAGTGCTGTTTTCTTATTATCATGACATTTTAATTAGATTTTAATTATATAATCTATGTATTGCACAGACATAAAAATGGTAAGCAATAAATGATTTTATTTATTGTACAGTTTGTTTTTATTTTTTTTTAACATATTTGAATATTATTTCTGAATTTAACTTATCACTTATTTCGGCAAATTTGTATGCATATCTATTTTAATTGCATTTTTACGATGTGTTTTGACACCGAGGCTCATCTGCCTGTATGTGATTTTATGAAAGTGTTTAAAAGCTGAATGTAACGTAAAATAAATATTCTAACGGGTACAGTGTAACTTCTGAAAACTGAACACCCGTGGGACTAGCCAAAAATGTCGGAATTTGGAAGATTCCGGAATTCAGAAGTTCGGAATTATCTAAACCAGTGTAAACAGGTAGAAACATTAGGTTAACATTGAACATCAATTGTTTAAGACATGATGCAAAATATAGGAAGCTTATTAAATTCATAAAATGGCAAAATTATAGGACTTTTAAAAAATTATAACTACATTGTATATTAAATCTCAATATCACCTTTAACTGAATTTATTGATACAAAAGCATAATTTCATGTTGTATCAGCTATTAATAACCTGTATTTTTTTGTTTTTCATCACAATATACTTCTCATTTTTTATTTTTCACACTTTAATCAAGTGTTTTACGTGCTTGACAAGTTGTGATTGTAATAAGTGTCAAAATAAATGGTTTCTGCTAACTGGAAGATACTGACATTTTGATGTTTTATAATCTCAATTCACACCTTTTTCAATTTCCGGATTTTGGAAGTAGATTTGAATTGATATTACCCAAATTTTACCTGAAAATTGTTCAGAATTCAGAATTTAGAAGCTCCGGAATTCAGAAGTATTTACTAAAAAGAAAACAGAGGGAGAAATTTCGGGACCCTGAAAAATGTTCGGATTTTAGAAGTTTCCGGATTTTAGAAGTTGCGGAATTCAGAAGTTACACTGTATAAGCTAAGCGACCTAATTCATACAGCAATATGTGAATCTTATTTTTTGTGCTGAAACTAGTTAATTCATATAATAATATAAGACTTTTATCTTTCATTACAAACATGATGTATGAGACTGTGTCCTGCAAATTAGAAAAGTATTTAAAAAGGCATTGTCGGATTAAAAAATGTAAATGTTCTCATCTAGCGCATGCTTTCAAAGAGAAAATAATCAACAATTTAAAAAATATAGATTTCATCAAGTCCCTGTGTTGTTTATACTTATTATTGCAATGTTTGACGAAAGAAAATTGTTATTAAAATTTTGGTATTATTCTTTGAACTCTATTAACATCTATTAACGTCACCAAAACCATTACGTTTCACTCACCCTTTATCTTATTTTAAAACAGTTATAGCAAAATATCTTACGCATTGACCCTATATTTTTATTGCATAAATATTTTCCTCCACTATCTCACTAACCGCTCGGAAAATTATAGCAAAATTCAACGTGTTGAATTTTTTTAATTACACAATCTTCATTGCGATATCGCGCGATATTTGCATTAAATATGGACGTCAGAACGCAGAGAAAAATGACATAGAATCGGAGACTGTTAAGTACATGTTCAAGAACGACATGATTACAAAGACATACATTTACTGAACAATAAATCAAAACGAAGAAAATCGGATGAAAATTGATAAGAATAGACTGGTTTACTGATAAAAAGACACAATTTCGCCGCCACCGATAGAGGGCGCTTTGACGTCATTATAACGCTGTTTATTTATAAAATAATACTGCAGAAGTAAAACTCACATATCCATATGTTTGCATACCAAAAATCATAAAGATCTTAGATGTTGTCAAATTTCGGAAAGTAGCGAGCCACCTTAAGGCCAGTCCTTGAATTCACAAAGTAAGTCAAGGAGAGTTCACAGTTTCAGGGTTTAATGACAGTCCTGAAGAATTCACAATTTAAATCCTGGAGAATTTACAATTTCAGGTTTTAAAGTCTGTCCTGGAGTGTTCAACATTTAAGGGTTAAAAGTCACTCTTGAAAAGTGTTCACACTTTCAAGAATGTTTTTGTTATCTCTGTACAACAAGTATGTACTATCAAAATGTAAAATGTAATGTAAATTATGTCAAAGAACAACACCAATTTTAAGTAAATCATCTATCTTCAAGAGTGTTGGCAGGTGGTATAATTATAGAATTTAATTATTATGGAAGTTTTATTTTTAAATTATAGAAAAGAAAATTATATATTCAAAATCACTCACTCTTCTTCTGGAGTGTTGGCAGGTGGTATAAAACTTGAACATTCTCGTCGTTTTATGTTATCACGTATCCATTTTGTCTCTTCATCCAATTTCTGGAAATAATAAAGTACAATGTCAACAATGACTGCTTCTGACTTAAAAATGTAATGATTAGACTGGTTCATTTAGTTTATACAAATTTATTTTCGTTTGATTGTGTTGGAAGCTACCGGTATAAGCTTATTGAAACACTCTCAAATCTGTTCCCCTGGGGAACCAATCAGTACTAAGCGATCAATGTGGGGAACCAATAAGTACTAAGCGATCATTGTAAAGTTTCTTGCTCAAGGAAAAAACGTCTCGCCCCAGACAGGGTTTGAACCCACGTGGTCAGCAAACCTTAGATAACTAGTCTGACGCGTCAACCACTCGGCAACACCGCCATGCCACTATTTCATTTGATTGTTTAAACAAGTGATATCTCATATTCTTTTACATCTTTAACCGGCTATATTTGTTTGAAGGACCTGTGAGTCTATATAGCTTCCAATTTTGGAACTGTCCATTATCAAATTCGGGGATATCAAGATGATAATTTAAAGTTAGCCAACAGTATAGAACCTGTTCAGACTGCAAAGACTGCACATAAATGTAGCCTGGCCAGGCTCTATACTCACCAAGTGGCTATGGGTAATCATTTTTGGTTTCAGGAGGGTAAAGTTAAAAGTTGGACGGTACTGAATTTGTTAAATGGACTTTTATAATTTGAATTTGGAACCAGTAGTATATTTAGGAAATAATATGGGTCTTTCTTTTAAACACAATGCCTGAACCAGGACTCACTGTCAAAGTCCATTTATCCACTTATAGTACAATAATTTATTATCATGTGTTCTATTGTTTCAACTGTCTATTCAAACTATTCTAAACAATCTTTCAACAAATACTCTGAAACTGAAACCATTTCATTTGAATAAACGCCTGATTTTACACATTGTTTATTCAGTGGCGTTGTATAATATTCAATAACAAAAATGAAATATTGTTTAACCAATTAATTCTTGGAACATACTTACTAATAGAACAATGGCCATGCCATTAATGATAGCAACATTACATTACATAGCTAGAGCTTGGTGCCAAAGGGTTGTAACTCATATTAAATAAAGAAGGAGTTACCCTTTCACACCAAGATGTCTATTTATTATTAGATTAGATATCATGTTAGTTTTCCATCATTTTAAAAATATAAACTTATCTAAACATTGGGTATCATCAAGCCAAAAAAGTGTAGATTATAAGAATGAAAATTTATTCACAACAAAACAGTGCTTTATATGCTACTTTCTGTCCCATTACAATCTTCCAAAGTGCTTTTTGCAAAATTTTGCAACAAAAAAGTATAAAAATCAGACTGGAAGAATGTTCTGTCAGGTTTTTACATCAATTTTTTGGGGGGCTTTTTTTGTGACGCCGGTGAGCGGCGTCGTCTCTTATGGAATGCTTTTTATTTTGGCCTATGGAAGGAGCTGTTGTTATAAGCAGTTAATGTCATGTTGTGTTAATTAGTTTTATTTTGATTCGTAAAAACCAAGTAGACAAATATTGTATTTAATGACTTTATGTGAAAAACATGTGCATTGTGATATTATTTTCACGAATATGTAGGCTCAGTTTAACAGCTTGTCCCTTAGCTTTATAGGCAATACTAAAACCCGAATTTTGAATATAGTTGTGGTCTACATTGAGGCTGTATTCTTTTTCATTAAAGTTTTTATTACTTTATTTCTTCTGACAAGGATATTAATTATTATAGATAAAAATCGCTTGTATTTGCTCCCCTTTAAATTAAAAAGAATTGTGACAGAATTTTCACCTCCTGAAATGACCTGCTTCACCATTTGACCCCTATGTTGAAAGAAATCATTACAATAAACACTAACCAGGCTGTATGCTTTTAATTCTTTTAAAACATTGCCAAACCGTCTCCTTGCATCCTTTTGTCTTTGTTATTGTTCTTGTTTACCTGCTTTCACTTGAGATTTAGGTTCACCTAGAACGGAAGCATGTTTTTTCACGACTGACTCGCTCCAATCAGTACTTATGTTTACTTTTGGTACGCTATTTATGTCAGCTTCATCATGTTCATTATTCCCATTAACTTCAGCATCAATCAAATCAACTGCTTCTAACGAATCCCTGCCCAAGAAAGAACCAAGAAACCGGACATCTCTTTTTTGTCCCATTTATACTTTTCTTGTTTTTCAACACTATTCTGTTCACCAAGAGCAGAACAATTCTCCTTTGTGGTATCTTCAATATGCCGTCTCTATGGCAGTGAAAGGGTTAAAACAACAGATGTTAACATATTATTACACCTCTTTGTCTGTTGTAAAGGTAATTAGCCCCTTGACAATTTCTGAAACAATATGTCACCTGTTAAGACATTCTGATTGAAAACATAAGTGTTATTGACTCAAACAAAAACCTGCAATTTTCATGTAATTTTGTTGTAATTTAGATGCTTCTTCCAAGGGGTCACCCTTTTCAAGATTTTTGAAATATAACAAAAAATCAAATAATTAAGTTTTGGCACATAAACATGAATACTTAACTTTGAAATGGACAATATAAAAATATAAGAATTCAAAATAAATGCATTATAAAAATATTACAAGAAAGAATCTGATTGTTTTTTTTTATAAGATGACACCTTGCTTGAACATAATTGTATAACCTAAGCTTACAAGTGAGTGACTCAGTCTTACTAGTGAATGACTGAGTTGCCTCAATTGAACATAACTGTGTGAACGTACTGGTAAATGATTGAGTTGCCTCAGTTGTACATAATTGTGTGAACATACTGGCAAATGATTGTGTTGCCTCACATGAACATTACTGTGTGAACGTACTGGAAAATGATTGAGTTGCCTCACTCGAACATAACAGTGTGAACGTACTGGCAAATGATTGAGCTGCCTCACTTGAACATAACTGTGTGAACCTACTGGTGAATGATTGGGTTGCCTCACTTGAGCATAATTGTGTGAATGTACTGGTCAATGATTGGGTTGCCTCCCTTGTAATATAATTGTGTGAACGTACTGGTCAATGATTGAGTTGCCTCCCTTTTGATATAATTGTGTGAACCTACTGGTGAATGATTGAGTTGCCTCACTTGAGCATAATTGTTTGAACGTTTTGGCAAATGATTGAGTTGCCTCACTTTAACATAACCATGTGATCATACTGGCAAATGATTGAGTTGCCTCGCTTGAGCATAATTGTGTGAACATACATTTTAAAAATTAGGTCATTAATAAAAAAGTCATCAATTCTTAAAACTTCCTACTAATTCATACACAAGTATATTTCTTCCTAGAAACAATTTAAATGTTTAAGCAGTAGATTTTTGAGCATAGTTAACTTAAAATGACTGGCAGCTGCTGCAACAATTACACATTATAAATAGTCCCTAAAAATGGGGGAAAAGATTAATTTACACAGGAAGAAACAAATGCATATATAAACAGTGGTAACAAAATGGAGCATAATTTATGATTTTAAATTATAACTAACTAATAAAATTACAAGAAAATGAAACAGAATAGTGATGGCAAACTCATCTAAATAATAAAATAAAAATGATACAACTTACAATCTTTCCACTATAAGAAGATAATTTAACAAAATATATCCAACAAAACGTGACTGTGTTAACAGACTGTGTCAAATAAACATAGTGTTTAACAGGCAATGGTGTGTGAAGGATGTATAAATATGTCTATAATAAATGAACTGCGTTGACTTTAGTTATATCCTAAACACAAATAAGTATATAAATATGTTTTTTTTTCCATAGACTACCAGAGTGAAACTGTTTCTCAAGATAAAACTAAGTACATTACTAGTATGTGTCCGTGTATGTGTGTTTTACGCACATCATCAAATAGATAGTATCTGCATTAGATAAAAAACAAAGTATCTTACACTACACTCAACATGTTGTATACAATGGACATTGCTAAAGGCTATAAGATCTAAGTGAAGTATAAAAGGATAAAATTAAAACAATTTAATTGACCATATCCGCTGTAACTTATTTACACCCTGTAAGCCCTTCATTATAAGTGCAGCAAATAATGACATACAAGGGCACAAAAATATTTACAAAATGTACCTCATAAAGCAATGACTGACCAAATTAATTAATAGACAATGAACATGGATTAAAAAATTATCAATTAATGTGTCAGTGAATTAATACTTTAATGAAAATTGCAAGTTTATCCAAAAAGAAATTTTAAGGGAAAGAATTCTGTATCTCACCCAATAGATAGTTATAATATTTACCAAAAAATACCTGCTTTACTTTATTATTATATTGTTCAGAAATCATGACATAACAAATTACAGGTAAGTATTGTACATGAAATATGTATCCGTCTAATAACTAAAATCTGACTTAATTGTTTGAAACTTAATACTACATCTGAAAATTTATTTGAATTAATATTTGCTCTTTCTTTACTACTGATATGCATTAACTATATTAACAAAATTCACATTCATTTGTTGTAAAAAACAAACAAAAACAAAAACTCTTAAGTCAAATAAGTATGGTACCTGTAAGCTAGCAGACAGCAATTTCATTGAAATGGTTTGTTGGTTGTTTTCCGTCTTCAAAAATGTCAAAATCTAGCAATATTTTGTTTTAACTGAATTTTGTAACAATATACACTAAGACACTTGAAATAATTATACTGACACTTGACAATTAACAAGAGATTCTTTACAATTGACATACACTCATGTACTTTTAATACAAGAGGGCCATGATTGCCCTGGATCGCTCACCTGACACAACCGCATCCAAGCAATGTCTTAAACAAGCATCATGACCAAGTTTGATGCGACTGAGTCAAACATGTGACCTCTAGTGTGTTATAAAGATTTTTCCATATTTGGGCAATGTGACCTAATTTTTGACCAGACACGACCCGTATTCAAACTTGACCTAGAAATCATCAAAACAACATTCCTGACCAATTTCCAGGAAATTTGGATCAAAACTGCAGCCACTAGAGTGTTAAAAAGATTTTTCTATTTTTAG